GAAACTCTACGTACTCTTTTACCCCAATTTCATATTAAGCTACTCGGACACAACATTACTCATAAACGACGTGACCATCAGGAGGAGAAAAGAAGGACCTAGATGCGAGATCTTTCCTGAATTAAGGAAGCAAACACACTAGGAAGAGGTACTGCTGTCTACTATACTTCATCATGCCTAAAATGCCATATTTCTAATTCACTGCTGTACACCTGCTTATTGTCAAATTTATGAAAAGTGCGGATTAAGATTTGAAGTAAAAAAAAAATTAAAATATCTATGGAATGTTTGTTATGAAACTATTGTTGTTGTACAATATTGGGGAGCCCGGTACATGCCATATGCCCGGGAGCCCTTTTCTTGTGAAATATAAAAAGAAACAAATGTTTTGTGAAGGAATACTTGTGAATATATAAAATGGCTTACGTACAGTTTGATGAGGGGGCTGGTCTCGCGCCTTCTCTCTCTCTCTCTTCGCCGTTCTTCCTAGGTCCTGGAAATATCCGAAGGGCTGTAATTCTTCAGGTCTGGTATAGTAAATAGGCTGCAAGCCGTCTTGTTCCTCACTTCGTCCGCTAGCATCTGACTTTTGGCCGTAGATAAGGCCGTCTTAGAGGGGGGGGGGGTAGTTCAAGATGAAACCGGGCAATATGCAAAGAAAAAGAAAATTAAAAAAAAAGTGGGGAGAGGCGGGAAATAAGAGAGCGAAACTGCCTCCAGCATCCAAATTTACAAGTTAAAATAAATAATAAATAAATAAATACTATAGAATAAATAAATATATATACAATGAATAAATAATTAGGAACATACACTTGCCATAAATCTATACATTCTGGCAGTGTTAATTAAGTTGAGTAATAGCTAATTATTCCAGAAAAGTATGAATCGGCCCACAAAATCGCCGCCGCGGTAAACCCTGCCGCTCACCAAGATGAGCCCAGGAACATTTGGAAAAGTACAGCCACAATTACGAGGAGAAACGTGCACCTCGCAATCCCACCGATACGTAGTCCCAAAAAAATAATTCACACGATGTGAATAAAATTTGACATGAACCAATTCTCCGATTATGGTGATCGATGGACCAGACCACATGGGATCGAAAATTTCCGAAATGTAGGATCGGAAACGGCAAAAATTGTTAAATGTGTGGAACGAAAACGAGAATCACGAAACAAACCAACGCACGGATGGACCCTTGGTAAGCATCAATTCTCCGGAAGCAGAGTTTCGGTAAGCGGCGAATAAGGCCGAATGGATTTGAAAAAAATCGCGAAAATGGGGTCGTAAACCCGCTAGATTCGGCCGGTCGCGCTAATACCGAATATGATGTACACCCTGTGGGTCGCCTCCAGCTAAGTGGCAGACATGATGATGCCGTTAAGCCTCCTTAACACGAGTGGTTTCTCCCTTACGACTCACACTCCCTGTGCCAGGGCGATGTATGCAATCGGAAGGGAGTTCGCGAAGGATTCACGAATCGGTCGTTGACGTTTCGGCGTGAAAACGTCACGCTTGAGTTTACGTCGCGGGTTCCGGCTAAAACGGCTTTTGAGCGACGATCGAAAGGTCGAGAGAAGAATTTTACTACGGAACTATGTCCTGGCCCGTCCGCCATCGCGTGAGCGAGAAACTTTACGGCGGGCCTACTACGGGTTGATATCCAGACCCGTCCGCCATCGCGTGAGCGAAAAACTTTACGGCGGTCTCGCTAGGATAATCCTAAACTACTAATACCTAATAGGAAACTACGAAAACGGTTAGCGGCAAGACACGAAAGTATCGTTATCCTTAACGAACGCGCTCATTCTTAACTACCTATAGTTGAAACGCCATGTACAAGGGCGATATATATGATCGGAATAGCGGTTCACGACGGAGTTATGGCTCGGGAGTTGATGTTCTATCACGAACGCGTCATGCCTGTGTTCAAGGCGCGGGTTCCGACTGAACTTGCCTTGAAAATAATTATGGCGAAGGGGTGTAACGGATGATGTGCGGTTACGACTGGGAAGCACAACGGAGTTGTTTCTGGACGGTGTGTCCACGTTTCTACGATCGGTGGCGCGCGTATGCGTATTCTGCCGCTACCTATCCTTGGTGAGCGCTCATGGATCGCGTGACCGAGTGTGAGGCCCGCGCGTCTTGAACGAGGAGTGAGATGCCCGTGTGAAATGTCTTTCCGGAGTTGGCCTCGATATCTTAAGTGTGGCCGATGAAATCGCCCGATTTTGCGGAAGGTTCTTCAGTGTCGACACTGGAACGATTATCGTGATGAAGCACACTGTGGTGCTTCTCATTACAAAACATGCACGTGAACGAAGACCGACAGTCCGAAATTCGATGGCCGGGCCTGAGACAATTAGGACACAGCCTAGTCGACTCGACGAAATTACAGCGGTCTTTGATCGCAAGCTCCAGAAACCTAAAACACCGCGCAAGTGGATGCCTTTCTTTTGCAGTGTGGTCAGGGGTTCTTGATTGGAGACTTTGAATTTCTCAGCGAAGATCCGTCACGCGAATATTGGCGTATGAATTCACCCTCACAATCTCTAACCGGACATGTTCGTTTAAACGGAGGACCAGCTTTCCTCCGATCCGAGTGTTGGGCGCGTTGCTCGTCCGAAGGCGCAGACTCTAATTCGTGGGCCATCTTAGTAGGACATCATCCGATGCCTCACGAAAGCGACGACCTTATCCGCGGTAGGGAACTCGTTACTTGCGTGTGAGAGTTCGAAAAGTCGTCTGGTGGTTGGGTCCAACGCGCGGAGAGCTAATGTGGACATGATGACTTTTTCTTCGTTTTCCAGAGCCAACTCGCGGAAGCTAGTTATACTTTCTCCCACAGCCAAGAGGTAAGCTGAGTGTTTGGAATACTCGCTGCCCGAAGTAGGGGCCCTATGTTTTAACTCTCTGAAGGCAAAGGGATGCGAGAACGCGCGGGTTGTCGTACTTTCTCATGAGAGCGTCCCAGGCCAGCTGGTATGAGGCGGAATCGAAGGAGAACGCCCAGATAAGCGACATCACTTCGCCGATAAGCGCATTTTTCAAATAATGCATTTTACTTATCGGCGTTAAGTGGGTGTTGTCTTGGATCAGGGACACGTAGGTGTCGCGAAAGCGCGTCCGATTGTCAAATTTGTCGAAATCACTGTTGAAGACGGGCACGTCTATGACCGGAAGTAGAGGCGGATAAAGCGAAGAGGTTGAGCCAGACTTGGCGTTATTATCAACCGCTGCGCGATGCGAATTTAATATCCGATATCCCGCCTCTATTTTACGTACTTCTCCCTGAATGGCGTCGTAGCCTGTTTCCAAGTCGGGCGGATAGGCTGAAGCACCCTGGGACGCGTAGAGCGAATACAATTCCTCCCATATGTTTTCAAATTTGTTCCACATTAACTTGATTCCTCGTAAATGACTTCATACTCGAAGAAGTCCCCACTGCCTAAATCCGCGGCTTGGATAAACGATTTGTTGAGATGGCGAAGCTTACGCTCAAGCGCGTCACCGTGGCCAGAAAAGTCGTTCAACTGTTCGTTACCCATGGTTCAAGTGAATTTATGATTTAAAAAGATAAATAATGAATATTATTCTATTAAAAAAGTATTGAGAGAAGAAAAAGATATTTAAAGATTTAGACGCAAATGCAACATACGATAAATTATCATGTGAAGAAATAGAATTTCATTAAATAAATATTCATTGCATATGAATTAATGATAGATAAATAATCAAATGAACATTCATATGAAATTAAATAAATAACTATGCATAATAACGAATGAAATATAAGAGATAAAAAAATACTTATGCATATACACTAATGAAATATATACAACTTAATAAATATTTGTAACACGAAATTAAACATGCGTGAAAAAGCTAATAAATATATAAATAAATTAAACAATATGTAATAAATATAAAAACATGCACACAATAAACAGTAACAAATATATGAACAATCAAAATATAGATAAATAAAGTTTAAGTAAAATTGTTTATACGTATGTACATTAAACAATTTTAACAATAATAAAAAACTTTAATAAGTGCAGTTATATACTGCGATATTCTGCACGTATACTATTGCGTCCGTAAATGAACTAATATAAAAAAATTCTCATTTTTTCCTTTAAGTCAGATCACGATAAATACATTTAAGCTGATAGCCGAACGATGTAATAACTATATGGCGAGATCTGAATTATTTGGATGCTGGGGAAATTGAAATACGTACAAAAGAAAGTTAGATGTAGCGGCGGAAGTAAGCAGGGCTGTTGTTCCAAATGAATTAGGCGGCAGTGAATGTTGCTTTAAATAGTATTAGCTACATAACCCACTTGTTGGCTGCTTAAGCCGTTTAATATTTACGTTAATTAATAGCAACATTGGCGTAATGAATGCCATTAATATCGAAAACTATTTATTAATTTAACGTAAAAAAGTAACCGAAAATTAAATTGAGTATTGAACAAATTAATTTATTAAAACTATGGGCGTATGTTTACAGTATTTTTATTCACAAGTATTCCTCATCCGGGGCACCATATGTACAATATTGAGGTGCCCGGTACATGCCATATGCCCGCGAGCCCTTTTCTTGTGAAATATAAAAAGAAACAAATGTTTTGTGAAGGAATACTTGTGAATATATATAAAATGACTTACGTACAGTTTGATGATGGGGCCGGTCTCGCGCCTTCTCTCTCTCTCTCTCCGCAGTTCGTCCTAGGTCCTGGAAATAGCCGAAGAGCTGTAATTCTTCAGGTCTGGTATAGTAAGTAGGCTGTAAGCCGTCTTGTTCCTCACTTTGTCCGCTAGCATCTGACTTTTGGCCGTAGATAAGGCCGTCTTTGAGAGGGAGTAGTGCAAGATGAAATCGGGGGTCCCCCGTATTATTTATACAGGTCAAATTACAACAATTTAATTAATGTTAACAATAAAAATTTGGATGTAAATCCAACAGTTGTTATAAGCGAATGCACGGCAATGTTGACTGATAAGAGACTACCTATAAAAGCCAATAGGTAATTTCATCTCCCTATTGTTCGGTGCAAGATGACTGTCTTAAACTCTTTGGTCTTTGTAATTTATGCCATGATTGTCACAGGTATGTTGTCTATTCATATAAATTATTAGAACATATTAGTTATCCACAGTGGCGTAGATAACGCCAATGCTGTTGCTGTCGTGCATTAGAGTGCAGTGCTTAAACGTAAATCATGGAAAGCATTAAAAATATATTACATGTAAATGAGACGGATTTAGCGGTAAGCGGCTGCGTAGGTCCTCAGATTGAAAGGACCGAACCTGTGCATAGCACCTCGCGTGACCTGGCAACCTTTTTTTTTTTTTTTTTTTTTTTTTGTTCTTCTCTACCTCACCTTTTAGGCTATACGGGATTTTCCCGGGCCGGGGGGTGAGGGCGGGGAAATTTAAAATCCCCTCCGGCACCGGGACGCGAACTCGTACTTTTTATTATATCATCTCAAATCTCTGTTATCCGGTTGCCAGGCAACTAGCGGTGCTGTTACACACGCTTTAGCCTATTCGGCCACCCCGCCCCCGTGACCTGGCAACCTAATAACCAATGTCATAGACGAGAAAATAATTACGATTTCGGTGTTGGAGGGCTTTTAACTCTCGCAGTAATCCTCGCCCTCATCCCCTGGCCCAAGAAATCCGTATAGCTCTACTAAACCCCGTCAATATAAACACCCCTCAAAAATTTTTATACGCCATAAAACCCCGTTCTGGCACCCCTGACTATTTTAATTGAAAGCATTTCCTGCACTAGCGGATCCAGGATTGAATTTTGGGGGAGGGCTTCAGCCCGAAACCTTTTTTTTCATAAAAATAACGATAATTACTTTGGAAAAACAAAAAGAAACTAACTACCTATACGAAATGGTGTTTAGGTGTTTCTTGAAGTCCAATTAAATGTAATTACACGAATAATAATACTTTAAGAGATAATTTTTTAAATATTTTTTCAGCCCGAAAGCCCCTCCCCCCCGTAGATCCGCCCGTGATTTCCTGTGACAACTTTTATTGTCATCAGGAAGGCCTTGAAACAACTCAATACCTGCCTGAGATAGTATTTTTTTCATACAGGTATAAATTATGTATGACATATAGGCATATTGGATATATTCCAAACAATATCATCACTCACCCAAACCACCTCTTTCCCGTGATCTTATAGTTCGGTCCCTACCCCACCAATAATTTGGCGCCTTTGGAAGAAGTAAGACCAATAAAGAGCTGCTCACAGAAATTGGCCAATCAATATCCCCTGATATGGAAGGAAAGAAAGAAATAGATTAAGATAGGCAGAAATTAAGCAGGCTTGTTAATGCGGTAAAAGAACAACAAGGTCTTCTGTAATGCCAACAGAAAAAACAACATTTATTTCTACTTCTTTTTGCTTTTAATTTATATTTTTTAATTTTACCAATGAATAATTATTTTATATTTTCATCAACATCAGTGAAGTATGATTTATTTATTTAAAAAAAGTCAATTATCAATTTTTCTCTTAATTTATATTCAGCCAATTTTTATAACTGTTAACAATGTGAGGCAGTTGATTTTTTTTTTAATGAAACAAATTAACGGTACTTTAAAGGAAGAACTTTTGCACTTTGGGCATTTTAAGCTCTGCTAAGCGACATCAATGAGGATAGGACCTAACTGTTCTTAAAGAGTTTTAATCAAAATCCTTGGAGCTGTTTTTGAGAGTGTGTAAAATCGATTATATGTGTAAATCGATGACTGACACTTCCGGTTTTAGACCGATATTAAAGTTGCTGTAACATACCAAGTTTATACCTACATTAAATACGTAATTTAAGTTTCCTGCGACTTTTCATTTTTGAGCAAGGATATTCACATACACACATACCATTTTGTGCTACTTAGTTATTGCCCGTTGCAACATGTATTTCCGTTGAAAACACAGATTCGAAAATTTTCACGATCGCAATACTTTCTCCTACATTATGTTGTATATATACATGGGAGAGGGATTTTAGGCTGAAACCTCACCCAAATGGTAAAGTATAACAATGTCGTACAAAAAAATAATCTCTAAAAGTATCATTGTTCGTGTAATTACATTTAATAGGACTTCAAGAAACACTATTTCATATAGGTAGTTAGTTTCTTTCTTTTTCTTCCAAAGAAATAATCGTTATATATATATATATATATATATATATATATATATATATATATATACGGGCGGATCTACGGAGGGGCTTTCGGGCTGAAGCCCTCCTCCCTCCAAAATGGAAAAATGTAACCATGTCTTATGGGAAAAAAAATTTAAAAAATACCTCTTAAAGTATTATTGTTAGTGTAATTATATTTAAAAGTATTTAAGGAATAACTTAAACACCATTTCATACAGGTAGTTAGTTTCTTTCTGTTTTTCCAAAGTAATTTCGTTATTTTTATGAAAAAAAAAAAATGTTTCGGACTGAAGCCCTCCCAAAATTAAATCCTGGATCCGCTAGTGTATATATATAAAGCTTTCCGGCTGAAGACCCCCAAATTTAAATCCGGAGAATTGCTACTGCTTCAACCTCAAAATCAGCCTTACCAAAACTTTTGTTGAAAATCTTCTTACAATCCTGGTGTGCTGCTTAGAATATTTGTAAGATAATTTAGGAGATAAATAGATTATTAAATCAAGATATATTTCGAATGACCTTTTTGAAATTAAATTTGTAATTGTTGTCTATATACCGCTGCTGTTAGTGTAAGAGGTCGTATGCATACATTAATATCCTATTTGTGCTACAGGTGGTATTTTGTGATCTGCAAACTGCTATAAGTAGTGTGCTACTTTGGGAAAAAGCAGTGGAAAATAAAATATGAAATTATACTAATACATAATAAAGAAATAATCAGTTTTTATGCTCTCCTGTAAGATAACTAAATTTTTACATACGATCTTCTACAGTAACAGTAGTGATATGTGATATGTTTCGTCTAAATATTGCACTTTTTAGTTTTTTTCGTTACTTTTAAAATATTTCTAACTTCATAAAAAAAGATTAGGCTCAAGTAAAGAAGTTTACAATTACGATCAATTTTATTTGTGTGGTTACTCGAAGTTCAATCATACAAAATGTAGCGTATAAAATTCTTAAACAATTAAAAAAAAATTATAAATTTAACACAAATTGGTAATTGAATAAGATAAAATATTTACAAATATGAAACAAGTTATTAAAATTGGAACCGACCCGGAAAATGCTGTACCAAATTCAAAATATATTGCACAAGGTATTGTAAACATTTCAGTCCAACATAACTTTCTGGCGCATGTGGAATTTATGGTCGACTTTACAATTATGTGTAATGTAAATTGCAATGAGGAAAAACGAAGTTATTTAAGTATTAAGCAATTATAAATATGTTCATCTAGAAGGGTTGAGTTTACAATCAGATTGCTGTAATTACTGTACTGTACTTTTCCTCGTGTTTTATTGAAACTTTTCCGGAATGTCCATGTCAGTGGAGCCCGGAAGTGATGCTCTTTGTCTAACCATTCTAATTCGACAATCAACTATTCTAGAGACTCGAATTTGGTCTCCAATTGTTCGTGTGATAATACTCAGAAAATTTTGTTATTTCATATTATTTGGTTTTAATAAAACGGACTGAGCAAATCGAGCGTGGAGTTTTATAGAGGTTTCTCCTAAATATATTTCCTCATTTATTTTTCTTATTGTATTTGATAGATCGAAATGGTTCTAATAAACTACCCTTAATTTTTCATGTGAAATTAAAATTTCAGAACTTCGCACTAATGTGTGATGCGCAATCGTCATCAACATTATTTTGCCTAATTTAGATCCTCATATTTATGTCATACTATTTTACCCTGATTTGTAATCACAAAAACGCTTTTTTCCCTTTTTTTGCTTCCTCACTACCGAAGGTAGGGAAGCATTGTGTTCGTGCGAGAGATTAACAATTTTTTTTTGTTCAGAATCGAAAATTTTCACTCGCGTTTTACGTTTCAGACATCAAGGATCAAATTTGGTTCGGTGTCTGTCTGTCTGTCTGTCTGTAGTCAAATCGATGTGACAGGCATATCACCTAGTACTGTTCATCCTATCTTCATGAAATTTTCAGGAATTATATTGATTGGTGCCTAGATGGTCCCATATCAAATTCCATCCAGCACTTCCGCTTATGCACGCGCAAATGTATATTTTTAGATATGCCAATATTTCAGAAAGGGCTCTTTCGATTTGGCTCAAAGTTAGATAAAAGGTAGACTTTGTTGAAAAAATAACGTAGTGTCAATTTTATTGAATTCTGTCCACCACTTTCTCTTATATATGCACTACTAGTCCGCTGTCCGTCGTCCGCGCATTTTTTCCGAAACTACCGGACCGATTTTCTTCGAATTTGGATATAAAATCAGAGGTCACCAGAGGATGATCTTCCTTCAACGGCATTACTATTCGCCTTCTTGTTTCAAAATGGCGGCCGAAAAACCTGCGTTGCTATAGACTGTAGCGCCTAAACGAATGTACCGATTTTAATAAAACTTCGCCAAAGTCATTTTCTCTACGCCCTTTAAATTTTTCTACATAACATACTTCAACCAAAAGAAGCTCAAAAAAAGTTACGAGGGATGGTAAAATTAAATTCCGAATAATTCAAGAAGTATACACATTTTTGTCAATATTGTGATAAGATGTTTCATAGATATTTGAATTTCCTAAAAAATGAAGAAAGTTTCAGTGAAATCGAAGCACTATTAGTAGAGATATGGCGATTTTAATATATTTTGCTTCCTCACTACCGAAGGTAGGGAAGCATTGTGTTCGTGCGAGAGATTAAAAAATTTTTTTTGCTCAGAATCGAAAATTTTTACTCGCGTTTTACGTTTCAGACATCAAGGATCAAATTTGGTTCGGTGTTTGTCTGTCTGTCTGTAGTCAAATCGATGTGACGGGCATATCACCTAGTACCGTTCATCCTATCTTCATGAAATTTTCAGGGATTATGCTGATTGGTGCCTAGATGGTCCCATACCAATTTTATCAAATTCCATCCATCACTTCCGCTTACGCACGCGCAAACGTATATTTTTAGATATGCCAATATTTCAGAAAGGGCTCGTTCAATTTGTATATGGTTTTAATATTGTATATGGTTTTTTAAATGTTTGATAAATTTCCTAAAAAAAAAAAATCGTTATAATCGGACAATTAGGAGCAAAGATATGGTCTCCAGTTTTTTTTTAGATGTGCTATTGCAAAAGGTTTATCTTTTGTTTTGATTTTTGAATGTGTTACTGAAGTAATGCTATTTTTTAGCATATTACTAATGATTAAAAAAAAGTTTAGTCCAATAATTGGAATCACCTTTTATTTATTTTTCTTTATAACTAGGAATTTAATGTTACTTTATATGTATAATTTTTTGGAAATAATATACCATAGTGAAATAATTTGCCGTGGATGTATTTCAAATTAATTATCGACCTTACTTGGCAGACGTTTTTTTGACCAGTCTTGGTCAAGGTCTTACTACAATTAGGCGGTCTTGGTCTTGCAAGACAGATTTTTGGCAACATTAATTGAAATATTTGTTTGTTCTAGAACTAAATTAAATAGGATAGCAGAAAGGGAATCACGTCTTTCAAATCCGAACTTAATTTCGCCAGATGCACAGTGTACAGATGTGCTGTAGATAGACAACACTGGTAATTTCAAGAACCAGATTTTGGGTGTTGGAGCAATAGCGGATCCAGGATTTCATTTTTTTGGGGGGTGGAGGGAGTTCAGCCCGAAAGCTTTTTGTTTTTTTCAAATATAACGATAATTACTTTGGAAAAAAAAAAGAAAGAAACTAACTACCTGTACGATTGGTGTTTAGGTGTTTCTTGAAGTCCAATTAAATGTAATTACACGAACAATAATACTTTAAGAGATATTTTTTAAATATTTTTTTCCATAAAACCTGGTTATATTTTTCTATTTTGGAGGAGAGGGGGAGGAAGCTTCGCCCTCAGCGTTTTTCTGAGGTCAAATTTTTTGCAATTTTTCCTGGCCACTGTGAATTGATTTAAGAACTGAAATTCGTATGAGAACTTCTTCAATGTTTTATCTAATTCTGTTGCCTCTTTCGTCTTCAAAGTGATAAAACATGGGTTGTAACGATTTTCATTTCCATCATCTTACCCCAGCTATGGTATATGATGAAGAATGGGGTAGGGTTAAGATGATGAAAATACCAGGAATTTTAAAACATCATAACAAATAACCTAAACAAGAACTTCTATATAACTTGTTTGACATATAACTTAAACAAGGAATATTAAATTCAGAAAGGAACCACAAATTGTTACGAAAATATAAAAAAGTAAAATTTATTTAAAAACAGAACTTAATTTAAATTTATAAAATTAAAAAATACAGAATTCGTATTTATAGGCTCTGTGGCTGGGGTCTCTCTGGTATGGTGAACACTCAAAATGAGTCCCCTTGAACACTTCACCACACAGCTCACCTCTGTCTTCCTCAGAACATATGATGCAGAATCTATCCTCTTTGAAGTCTAGACTGAAATGAGTTTGTAGGAATGGAGCTGTAAATTCAGAATATTCTAGAGAGAAATTTCAAAAACTTACCTTATACTGCTTGCATTTTGAGACTCGAAAATTACCTCAAAGTGTTCAGTATCTAAAGTTGGGACAACTTTAGAATTTGGTTTAGTGGTCAAAGATCATGATCAACGAATGATGATTATAGCCAAATTTGTCGAAAATTGACATAAATCTTTATAAATTTATAAAGATTAAAAATATTATTTTATTAAAAATAGGCTGTGCAGATTGAAAATAAGTTCTCCGAGATAAAAAGTTTATAGAATAAAAGTTGTAGAACATCAAATTCTGCATCCACTGAGTACCAACATTTTTAATGTAAGTCAATTATGCCTCTCTAGATTTGAGCAATAGTTCACATCCTTCAAAGAAATATAATATATCACAGTATATTTATAAAATACAGTTATACCACCAAATCTACGGGGGGGAGGGGGGGAGGAGGCTTTCGGGCTGTAGCCATGTTTTATCGTAAAAAATATTAAAAAAGTATCTCTTAAATTATTATTGTTTGTGTAATTACATTTAAAAGGGCTTTAGGAATCACTTAAACACCATTTCATACAGGTAGTTAGTTTCTTTCTTTTTTTCCAAAGTAATTATCGTTATTTTTATGAAAAAAACAGCTTTCGGGCTGAAGAGCCCCCAAAATTAAATCCTGGATCCGCTAGTGGGTATCTTAATGGTTAATGGTCTTGACTTGCTTCAATAATCTTACCCTAAGAATATTTTCTTAGTATGATTCATTTGGCCATTCAAGAAATAAATGAAGCTAATAAATATTCAATTGTTCACAGGTCATGTCTTAGGTAACCAAAACACTTCAGATTTCCATGAAACTAATTTTACCAGAGGCGAAGAGTGTGCAAGAAAATGTGATGGTGTTCCTAAAACTTGTTATTTCTTATTTGTTATTAAAAGATACACTACCGTTGGAGGGTAAAGCAGGTTGATTATTTTATCAAGAATATTTTTAAAACATTTTGCAGTCTAATCAGTAAAATGTTTCTTTCTATTCATTAATTTTTTTTAAAAGAGCTTTAAATCAGCTTTAAGTTCTTCGGGTTTGAATCATAACTAAAAACTGTTAGTGTAATGATAAAATTTATTGTATACTTTAATTTTTTTTATAATACTTTATTTTTTTTTTATAGAGTAATTTATATTACTCTATTTCCATTATAAAAAGTTAAGTGAAATATTTCATACTTAAAATGATTAATGTGGATATATTATTCGATTGTTCTGATTTTATTATGTTAACAAGAATATTTGCTTGTGTTTGTAGTCTTTATTTAAAAAAGGTGTAAGTTTGAATGCAAAGACAAACAACGAAATAGTTCTTGATGACTGTTAAAAAAAAAAAATGTAAATTTAAAACAGAATTCAATAATTGTTCTCTACTTATGGCAAATTTATGGCAAAATAGGCATTCTCGCTAAACTTCTGTTATGCTCTATTTATTCCGTATGTTATTGAATCCAAATGATCAATGAGTTTTTATTTATTTTAAAAAATCCTTTTTTATTTCTACATAAAGTTTTTTAATATGATTTTGGATACAGAGCTTGCGGAAACTGCCTAAAGGGTGTTTTTGAAGATTGCTTTCTACCAAAATGTGTTACCGCTGATGGTGCCTGGAGATCCACTATTAATGTCAACCGACAAATGCCTGGACCGCCTATTGAGGTATTGAAAATAACTCCATATTGATGACTTTGATTTGGTCTACTTATCTTTTCCTCTAGTCTTAATATTTACGTGCATTCTATTGGGACATAATTGAGAAATATTTTTGGCTATCTGTCATCAGCTGTCCTCTTTACATGAACATACTGTATCACTTTCTTCCTTATAGTGTGTGGAATGATGATGATTTTCATTCAATTCCAATTTTCATCAGATAAGTAAGAAATCCAAGTTTCGTGTTTTTTAAAGAAAATCGTGTTTTTTGTTGAATAGAAAGTGATAACTAAAGAAATATTAAATTTTGGGACTAGAAACATTCAGTTTGCCACTCATTAATATGGATCAATTCTTATGAAAGAGATCTTGGAGAAAAACACATTCTCATAAATACTTATCATAAAAAATATTTGAAAGATCATTATTTTAAATTTTTATAGATAAAAAGTGTATTCAGGCAATTTTGTTTATTACATACATCCCAATACATCCCAGATCACATAAAAATAAGAAATAAAAGCTTTGCAATAGTTAATTGTAGTCATTTGTGCTGAAAACACAGGTACTTTTAGGTGACAGGATAGAAAATCACATAATTTTTTCCTAACTTGAGGTGAATCTCAAGTTTTTGCCTAATAAATCTCAACTTAATTAATATGAACTTAAAACTTATTAAACAAAAAAGTTTTTCTAAAAGTGTAGTATCCGTTGTAACTTTTATTTTATGAAAATAAAATTTAACAATGTATGAAAAATATTTGTTCATTGTACAAATTTTGAGCTTAGAAAGAATATACAGAATATCCCATTGGAAGAGGGAAATATTTAATAGGGTGATAGCCGACCTCAAGAGCTACGAAAAAGTGTATATAAGTAAATCATGCTTTTTATTGAATAGGAAGCAATCAATAAAAAATTATATTATATTTTATTTTATTAATTAACAATTACTCTACAATAAAATAGAAAAAATTTACTTCAGATGAAAGTAGAGTCGGTCACTGTTTAAAACCATTTATTTGAATAAGAATTTGAGTAGCTAAACTAAACTATGTTCTATTTTTTTTTTCCTGTTTTAAAACAAATACTAAATTATTTATGACTTTTTTTATCCAATATTGTTTACATAAACTTTTTTGTAGCTCTTGAGGTCAACTATCACCTCTTTAAATATTTCCCTCTACTTACGGGAAACCCTGTATATATTTATGTATGTTTATTGTGGGGGCAGAGATGGTTGATCAGGCTGAGATGCTAGCAACAGGTAATCAAAGCATAGCAATGTCGAGCATGCTAAGTACTTGGATAGATGATTATCCTCCAGGAAAAGCAAGACTGTTCGAGATTCTCTCACCCTTCTGGGTATATGAGGCCTGCCAACTACTGGAGATGAATCACACAAACGGGGCATAGGATTGAAGCCTCTATCTTGTGTACCTTAAGAGAAAATCGTGTTGTGGTTTTCCATGATGTCATCAGTCTCTAGGTTTATTAGGACCTAAAGGTTCAGTCTATTGATGTTCTGTTTCAGGAAAAAAAATGTAGGAACTTCTGTGCATGCTGATTCTGGGCAACCATAATCCATGGATCTAGACTGTTAGATTGGCCTCAAAAGGATCCGCAATAGAGTTTTGGATGGCCTGCCTATGCAGCATAAAGACCATGCCTGGTCTTTAACACTGTGATGTTGAGTGGCCTTCTCCAGGCTCCCACAAGGAACATAAGTCTGTAAGAAGACCATATTCTGCGGCCAAAGCCTGTCTATAGCACCAACCGAAAAAAAAATGTTTATATAAGAGTTTTGTCACAACCCTGCCTATAGGTCAAATAAAAAACAAAATCAATCAGTTATTGAACAAATTTATTTTTGGTTAGATTCAACCAATACTGGGGCATATTAAATGCTGAAGTGGGAGATGAACCATTCCCAAAACATACGAATAGAAATAAAAATGGCATAAATTACAAGTGTTTTTTCATTTGGTTTGACTTAAAAGCAAGGCTATGGAGAAACAATCCAAAATAATGAAGAAAAGTAAAAAATATGAATTAATATATATGAATATTTATTGAAATAAAATTCATAAGGATTTTTTAGAAACTTTTTCCTTAAATTAGTTTTGTTAAAAAAAAATTCCAATTCAAGGCTCCAAGTTGCATTATATTTATCACCTTGCCATCTGCTAATTATGGTGTTCCTTGATATAAACTATGTATTATCTTGAAAATCAACAAAGTAATTATTAAATATTTTTAAAGTTTTTTGTTATTATAGTATGTCTCTCCTTGAAATAATTTTGTTAATTCTTTTTTATATTTAGGTCTGTCGAGGCGATAAGGTAGTCGTTGATGTTGTTAATCAAATGCCCGATGGAACAACCTCTATGCATTGGCATGGTATCAATCAATATGGTAGCCAATACTCTGATGGCGTTCCTTATGTTACTCAGTGTCCTATATCTCCTGGGACTACCTTTAGATATGTCTTCAAGGTAGATATTGCTGGAACTAATTTCTACCATTCACATACTGGTGAGTGATTTATTTAACTGATGTAATATTATTATTTTAAAGTATTTATCCATCAATGTCATAAATTCATTTTAAAACATAATTTATTCAAATATATAGTATATGACCTTAAAATAATTTCAGATTATTCACTATTAATAATTGATATTATATTATATTATACTATTCACCAATGAAATAAAAAAATATTTCTGATATTAATAATAGTATGTTCTATTAATGAATATTTTAGCTGTACAGAAAGTGGATGGACTTGTTGGTCCACTAATTGTCAAAGAAATAGAACAAGAAGAACCGCTGCTTCCTTTGTATGATGAAGATCTTCCTGAGCATGTAATAATGATTCAAGATTGGACCAAAATACCTGGAGAACATTTCATTCCTGGTGTGAGGAATGGTAGTCGAAGTCCAAGCGCATATTTGATCAATGGGCGAAGCATGTATTATGTAAGTTTTAATTTAATTTCATAACATTTAAGTGAATATTTTTCCACCCAGGGATAAATATTTTTCATTTCTTGGTAAAGAAAAAATATGAACATTATAAAACTGTTCTAATTTTTTTCTTTCTTTTTTTTTTTGGATCACCCACTGCCTCTCCATTTCTAAGGGGTAGAGGGTGATTTATGGCATTTCCGCCACATGGGGGTTGTTCTAGAGGTGCAACCAACCTATTTTGACCAGAGTGATAAGGTCAAGGTCCATTCTGTGGGACAGCCACAAAATGAATTTTAACCCTCCCAGACCAGATTCGAACCTGTGTCGGTAGGATCGAGCATGTCACAGTTTATGCTTTGACACGTTTGGCCATCTTGACCACTGTTCTCATTTACCAATGAAAACATTTTCAAATCTCTCTTCTAATTTAATGTTATACAAATCAAGGTAAGTATAAAACAATAATAGAATAATAATACACTGCATCGAATAAGATTTTTGATGAAACCTATTCACTTTTGGATTCTGTTTTTCTAAACTGTGAGTAATATTTAAAAAATTTCAAGATAATTACTTTTATTACTCAAAATAATACTTTCCTTAGAATTTTATTTAGTATAAGTGGAAAAATGAAGATGGTAATCTGTAAATGTAGGAATAATTTTTCTATATTTTGAAATTAATAATGATTTTTTTTTCAGTTGAGAAACTCTAGCTTAAAGTTACCTTTGTCAGAATTTATAATTGAAAAAGGAAAGCGTTACAGATTTCGATTGATTGGATCTACTTGCCTTACTTGCGCTGTTGTTGTTAAATTCCAAGGACATAGAGTATTAGCTATCTCTGCGGATGGAGGGCTACGATTTAAACCTATACCAGTTGACACCATTGTTCTCAATTCAGGTACTTTGGTATAATAGAAATAACATTAAATTTTCTCTCTTTCTCATACACCTTTCCTTGTGGAGTAGTTCATGCGTAATCGGCCACTTCACCAACTCAAGAAAAGGAATGCTCAGATATTGTAGAAAAATATATTATTGACCTTCAGAGTGGTATAAGGTTAGATCCAATCCAAGGGTTTCAAAGTTCTTGCTGAGATGTGTCTAGAGAGGGATACTTAAAACTAGAAATAAATTGATTCTGAATTGGAAGAAAGTGTCAGCATAAGAAAATAAACGTCTTCTGAAAATTAATATTGTAGAGGTCAATGCATTACAACTGTAATAAAGAGGATAAAAGTATCTTTAAGTTAGTGAGAAACAAGGAACAACCTAGTCTGATCATCCTAATTAAGAATTTAGCAAATGTGATTACAAGCTTGCCTGGTTCTGGTGGGAATGTAAGAGGCATGAAAAATGAATGACATTATTTTGACTTCTTACTAGCCATGAAATCATAAAAAATATTTGTCTTCATAATATAGAGATAGAACTTTCAAAAATAAAAAATAAAGCGATCCCAACTATTTTTTCCTCTCTTACACTTCTGTTTTGAAAGTTTGTTTTACTGATTTCTAAATCTAGGTAAAAGACTTAATCACATATTAGATCCAACAAATCATATATAGTTAAGTTTTTTGAGTGATAAATTTCATCTTCAAATTTTTTACCATGCTTAAGTTGAATATAACTACAGAAACATTGATATAATTACATTTTTCTTTCAGGAGAACGTTTTGATGTCATTCTTGAAGCAAATCAAACTGAAGATTTATATCTTCTTCATTTGCAAAGTTTAGGAAAGTTCTGCAGTCCTGAGCCATATGTGGCATTATTATCTTATAAATCAGTAGTAGAACATAAATCTAAGGACATTGGGTTGCCCAAACCATTGAGCTACGAAGAACTTGGTGTTGTAAGTTTTGGTTTAGAATTAATTACTTTATTACTGTCATTTTTATGAAAATATGATCCTAAAAAGATCAAAATGGTTTTCATGTGTATTATTATAACATAATGAAGGAAGGACAGGATGTATTTATCTGAAGAGGAATTAGAAAAAATGTTAATTTGTGCAAGGTTTTTAATAAGATTTTATAAATAAAATGGTCAGTCATTTTGATGACTGAAGTTGCCAGGTCCTTTTTCTTGACAATGCTATGAAAAAACTATGGCTGCAATTTTATACTTTTCTGTTTAAAAAATAGGTATTTAAATTTGTTTTCCCTGAACATAACACATTATTAGATTTGTCTATTTTAGAGCTGGAATATTGTTGAATGAAAATAATTTTAATGTTATTTTTTAATTTTATTATATTTTAATTTTTTAATTAATCATAATTTTAATATTATGATGAAAATTAAAAAAATTGAGTTATTGTGCTTTTCTCCAAGCCCTTTCATATTCTATTGTAAACTTTTACTTCTTTGTGCTATGCAATGGTAGATAACTTGCTAGTATTTCGCTTATGAAGAGGATTTTTCAGCAATGGATGGATATTTAAATAAATACATTTTAAAACAAATAAGATTTTTTTTCTTAATTTATAACATTGCTAGAAAAATAATAACCAACTAAAATAATTATAGTATTTTTTATTTTAGATATTTAATGCTGTAATGTCCACTTGTGATGGGAAAAATAGCAATGAAGTTTGTATTTCTCATCTGGAAGGAGTTGAAGATGCTATTGAACATAAATTGTCTAAAAAATCTTATCACCAACTTCATATTGCACTTGGAGAGTACCAATATGATGATGATGACTTGTTTAGAAGTGGAACTTATCAGCCTTATGATGGTAATTTAATTGTCACTTCGTTGTTTATTTATTAGAAATGAATATGTGTACAAATCATCAAGAAGGCATAATCATTAAAAACAGTTATTGCCACGGTTTTCTTCCATTAACAATTTTACAATTTGATTGAAAAAAGTTTCTTATCAAAGTTAAATTCAATGTTTCTTTTAATATTAATCTTTATGAGTTTCAAAATACAATTTGTTAATTAATTTTAATGTTTATTTTCACCAGTTGAAGCTTAGAGTTAACAGTTAATAATGCACTATTAACAAATATACAGCAGGTGTTATAAATTGCCAAGGCAAAACAGATTGTTTTTGCTACTACCTGACTGTTTTAGGAAAAACTTATTTTGCAGCTTATTAAAAGGATAATATTGGAACAAATTGACCCTAATGTAGCAATGTGGGAATTCATATTTTTTTTAGCGAGAAACAAAGTTGTTGTTGATTTTTCATGCCTAAAAAAAATCCTTAAATACAAATTTTTATAAAAATTCCCCCAAAAAATTTTTTTTCTCAAAAATTTTGCTGAAGTTGGAACCATATGTTTCTTTTCCATTCAATTTCGAAATTTACCAAAATTGTGATGATTTCTAGATGACTTCTCTGATGCACATGGAAATTAATAGGGATTTACGGCCTTATAGACTACAAGAAAGAGCACAAACCTGTCATCCAGAAACAAATTGTAACCAAAGTTATAAAATAAAAATGTTTGAGAAGTTAAACTTTATTTCTTATCTTATAAAGACATAAGCATAAATTTTCTTTCCAACAGTTGCATTAACATTGAATTTGGAGAAAAATCTAAAGCTTTGAATTATGAAAGCTTTAGTTAACAGGAAGAAAAATAATCCTCTCTGAAAATCAAGTTCTAAAATTTTCATTTTTTTATTTCTACAAAGTTTTGTATATAAAAGTTTTAAAACTTAGAATAAGTTATCTTTAAAATACTATAAATACTATTCTACCATATCTCAAAAACATTTTTATTTTGTAATCACTATTAATTTTTTGTTTGTTTTCAGAACCTGCTGATGGCGTGAGAGTCAAAGTACTTGTAAATAATATTTCATTTATGTCTCCTCCCTCTCCTTTGATTAGCCAGTTTTATGACATTCCGAAAAATTGTCTTTGTCAAGAAGAATGCTATCAACCAACAAAGGAGAAACCTTGTAGCTGTGTCAATCTATACTCAATACCTCTTGGGGCTGTTGTTGACTTAATAATTTATGATACAGGTAAATAGATTATTCATAGATAAATTATGAATTTATATTTATAGATAAATTATTTATATGAAGTTATATTTACAAATAATCTCAATATATTGGATTCATTCTCAAGTAAATGAACTGACGATCACTCCAAACTGTCCAGTATTTTGTAAAATTACAGTTTCAGCAAGTTGAAGTTTCATATTTTATTCAATTAAACATGTTTGGATACATTTTTAAAAATATGTAGTTGTAATTTTTTTGGCTTAAAATTTGTAATTGTCTAAAAAATTACATCATGATTTTTATAAAACTATGAATTTTAATTTTCTTCATTTTGTTTTTATTTTGAGTAATTTAGTTAATTTTTCCCTAATTTTTAATAAACAATATTAATATTGTAAAAGATTTTTCATAATTCATTTAATATTGATGTGCTTCTATTTTTACTTTTTTATGTATAAGTGATTTAATCGATTTTTCTATTTCAAGTTTCTATAAATAAGTTTTATTTAAAACAAATTAAATTAATTAATACTAATATTATTGTAGTAAATTGTTATTAGTATTGTAAAAACATAAATTAATTTAAGTATAAGAAATATATAAATATTTGATTGTTGCTATTAAAAATTTCAATTCATTGTTAATCTTTCTCACAAAACATCAAGACCCTACACAGGCCTCACTAACTCTACATTATCACTTACTTAAATTACAAGATTGGTTCACACTATCGAAAATTCGACTTAATCATGACAAATCCAAACATGCAACATTTACTCTTCAAAAAAAACACCTGTCCTCCAGTTAATAATGACAAAAATCAAATCCCTCAAACAGACACAGTAGTTTACCTTGGATCCACCTTCGACAGAAGGATGACATGGGGCCCGCATGTTAAAATGCAACATAAGACACTTAACAAACGACAAAAACTACTTTACTCTCTTTTTGCTAAACCTTTGAAACCAAAACTAAAACAGAAACTGAATACATATACATACTTACTTAAAACAATATGGACCTACTCATCACAAATATATGGTATCGCTAAAAAGACTCACCCACAAAAACTTCAAACCTTCCAGTCAAAATTATTGCGACTCATAACAAAAACACCTTGGTACACGACTTACAAAACTGTACATACCACCTTCCAACAATTGACCAACATATAACGACCCTTTATCATCGATTTTACACTAATTCAAATGCACATAATAACAGACTAATAAGAGACATGGCCACTGCTGGCATACCTCAGAACATGAGGAGAAGACTAAAAAGGCATTGAATGAGATATCTCCTTCCTTAGACACACTAAGTAATTGGAACAAGTTAGGGAAGAGGTACTGCTGAGTACTTTCCTTCCACATGCCTGTCATATCATTATTTCCTGTATCCCCTTGACATTTGTTGATTGTCAACAATAAGTTGATAGGCGCAAATACATTTTTATATACAAAAAAAAAAAACTGTTAATCTTGTTCACCTTATTTCAAAGATTAAAAACATCTAGACTCATAATGTCGATATTTTTATTAAATAGTATCTAATGGACGTAAGTATATTATATAGATATATATATATATTCAATATATTGAATAACTATTTTGATATATTTAAAAAATATTGTTGTAATATGTATTGGTAATTTTTTTTTATATTTACATCCCTAGTATTTAAGTTCATATTTAACTGTTGCAAAATTCTATTAAGTAGTTCCTGATCATTTCTTGTACTTCTAATTTTTAATGTGAATTTCTACTATTTTAGTACTGAAGCTTTAAGTTTATAAAAACAACTTATTTGTATAAAATTAATCAATTAATTAATTACATTTACAGATGACAGAAAATTTTTCAGTCATCCAATGCATCTTCATGGATACAATTTTTACTTACTTGAAATGGGAGTTTTAAAGGAAAATAATGAAGATAAAAGAATGGAATTGGCTTCAATAAGCAAAAAATTAAAAGAGGATAACTTGAATCTTAAGTTGAGACCAATGAGAGACAGTATCAGTATTCCTGCTGGAGGTTATGCTCTTGTCAGATTTATTGCAAATAATCCAGGTAATACCATAACATTAAATTTTGCTAAAATTGTGGTTCTTTTTGATGACTTTAGTCCATTGAGGCCATTCTGGCTGAGCATGTTAAAGCATTGCCCTTGTTTTTATTAAATCATATTTTATCATTCTCGAATCTAGCAGCACCAGTTTGACTCTAGTTAGGCGGGCTGAAATTTATTTCATGGTGGACCTATAGACTGTTTGAAAGATCTCCCACTAATGTACTTTTGATCTGGTTAGTTTGAACCACTGGTTAAGTTGAAAGTATCTTTTTGTTATTAGTAATAAAAAATGATTTAATATAATCTATGAAGAAATTTAATTTTTAACTCAAGGAGAACAAAAAGACAAATGCTTTCCCAGATTGAAAATAAATTTCTGTATGAGTAGTAATATGAATGCATAATATGTCTGAAAACTGAGTATTTCAGAAAAAATTAATCTAGTGCATTAAGTCATATAAGGTAATGGAGAATAAGTAATGACTAATAACACTGGGCAACAAAAAAACAAATTTTTGAATATTTTCAAAGTCAATTCTTACTAATTTTGAGTTGAGAAAAACGAATATGACAATGAAAAAATTTTTCTTAGCTCTAGTTTCTGTAATATACTACCTGGTCTGTAATATACTAGGTGGAAGTATTTCATATTAACGGGTTAAGAGAAAAAGATACATTTTAATTATATATGCTAACAACATTAAAAGTGCATTTGATTTTGCAAAATGGTAGTTATATTTTAAAATTTCTATGTTGCTGGAAGAATACCTCGCAGATGGTCGTGTCTGAAGAGATTATGTGCTGGCTTCATGAGATTGTCATCTTTTAGATTTCCTCTTGTAAAGGAGTTCTGGAGCATCCCTACACAAAGACCAACAGTAACCCGCAATCATTGCTCCTTCCCAATGGTCTGATATCTTTGTTCCATAACAGCAATATCCTGATGGAATTTTTTCCATGTTCATGACTAACATCTCCACAACTAGGAGGGAAAAAGTCTAGGTGGGAATGGAGAAAATGGACTTTAAGGGACATGTTGTATCCAAGGTTATGGTACTTTTGCAAGAGCACTGTCACCAAATGCATGTAGTTATCATCTCTTTTGTTGCCTAAAAATCCACGAGCAACTCCCTTGAAGGCTTCCCAAGCTTTCTTTTCTTTCCCTACCAAAACTTGGTCAAATGCAGGATCTTTCACAAGTACTCGAATTTGTGGCCCGACAAAAATGTCTTTCTCAACTTTTGCATCTCTTAATTTCAGAAATTTCTCTCTTATGTACTTAAAGGCCTGTTCTTTTTTGCTATACCTTTGACCAAATGTTTTCTCAAGCCCAGCTTGATTTATAGGGGTGGAAGTAGAATATCTTTTGGGTCCACGAGAGGCTTGGCATCAACATTTTTCTCGCTAGGCTTAAGATGTTCCTACATCTTAAGAAGCACATACATAAGAAGCACTAATGTTTTGTGTACCCCAGTTGCATTCCTAAAAGTATGGCAATGACTTTTAGATAACCACAGATTTTCCATTTGTGTTCATAATATTTGAGTGAGTACAAGAAGGCTGCATATCTGAATATGTCACCTTCTTGTGAACTGCATGACCAACAGAAATAGAAGAAAGAAGGTTGCCATTGTGAAGTAACACAGCTTTCAAACTAAGCTTACTCAGGCACTGAACTGTTCTTCTTTTCTCATAGATAATCCTGCCTTTTATAGAAAATCCTGCAACATATATGTGGTGCCCAAGACTTATCCTGGTCTCCTGCTTTCATATTGAAATAATGCTGATAGGTAGCCTTTACAAGAGGCATCATATTGTGTTTCTGTAAAGAAAATGTTATTTCACAAATATAACAAAAATTATTTACTATGTTTACACATTTTCATGGCATTTTTACCCTCAAACCAGAAATTCTGCATTAATTACAGCAGAAAGTATATGAAACTCACAGTCACAGCAACATTAACTATTTTTATGAATTACAAACAGTTGAAGAGCATTGCCTATTTTTGAGCCCAAAACATTTTCATTGTTGCCCAGTATAATTTTTATTACTATATTACATAATAGAAACTAAATGAAATTTTGTAAAAAGTAAATGGAAACTTAAAATTTATTTTAACAATAAAATATACTTATTGGTCAATGATCAAATGATAATATGATATAGAAATGAGCAAATGGAAAAAAAAAAAAATCAAGAGAGAGGAATTAGTTTTTTTCTCTCTGTCAATTCTTGAAAATACCACCTTAAACCAAAAAATGTGCTAACTCTAATAGGCTGTATCTTTGTTAATAGCGGTTTGATTTAAATGATTTGTTTTTGTTTTGTTGGGAATTGAGAAACCTTTCAAATTATCATGCGTGCATCCACCAGGAACCCTATCCTCTTGATCTTTGCACAAATAAGTTTTAATTTTTTCCTGTATTTTCTGGTGAATACGATTTCCTACTGACTAAGAAAACCTTCAAAATTATTTCTCAGTTTTCAGAAATGAAGAAGTATTAACGAAGATATAACTTACAGAAAAAAACAAACAACTAATATAGAAATAGAAATGATATATGATTAGACCTACTTGAGCTATTATTACCTTAAGGAGGGTAGTATGTGACATAGCGTGATGCAGCCACAAGATATTTTTATGCCTTTTATACTGCTACTAGCTAAGGAATGTATTGCAATTAGGTGAAATTTGTGAGGGGGCGAGGTGGCCGAATGGGCTAAAGCGTGTGTACTGCACCACGAGTTGCCTGGCAACCGGTTAACAGATTTGAGAAGATTAAAAAAGTATGAGTTCGCACCCTTTGGCTAATGAAGTTGATTTTTTTTTTTTAAATTGTAAAGATATTTGAGGAAAGATATGGTCCGTAATATGTTATCAATTTTTTTAAAATTTAATTTTCAGGTTTCTGGTTAATTCACTGTCATTATGCATTTCACTTGGATTCAGGAATGGCTGCTGTTTTAAAAATTGGTGAAAAACATCATCTTCCGGAAATCCCAAATAAGTTTCCAAAATGTGGAAATTTCATGCAGAATGTTTTGTAAATTAGTTATTGTAATAAATAAATCTGCATAGACTGTGCTACTTTATTTTCCCTTACTAATGTATCTTTTTTTTTTTAAATAATGGTTTTTGGCATAAATAAATGAGCTCTATGGATTGACATCGTAAGATGAACAAGATGTATTAATTGAATTTCTAACAAATCTTTAGTATCAATATTGAGGTGTATGATAGTTTGATTCTATAGTTTTTAATCGGTAAATCAGTAGATAAATCAAGAAAATTAAATGAAATCTGAGAAGAAAAATATAATGTAGTTAATGAATTATAGTTAGTTATAATAATATTAATAACAATAAGCTTTATTGACATCAATAGATTTGACACAAGCCTCTCCCTTAGGAGAGGAATTTTAATAGAGTAAGCTACAGCACGAAAGAGTGAGTATATATTATCGCTTTTTACAACATATAAAATAAAACAAATCATACCAAATTTACCTTCATAGAGTAACAATTTAAGGCATAAGAAAAAGCAAAGCCGTATAGCAAAAAAAAAAAAAAAAAAAAAACAATACTTTAAAAACACAAAGATTTATTTATAAATAAACAATCTTACAATTCTTCAAAATCATCACTTGATTTTGTTGGAAATGCTTGAAAAAGACAGAACCAATGTTTATGCCATCCAAAATACAGCTGGAACAACATGTGAAGTTAGGAGATTTGTAGGGATAATATTGAGAGTCACCATTCTTAGGAGAACATGCTGAGTTAAGACATCACTCTTTCATTAATGAGTAGAGAAACTAATCATTAGTAATGATCTAATGATAGTTGTATGCCTTTGAAGGGTGCTTGCTATTTGTTGGGTAAAAGGTACATCACAGTTTATTTTAGCCAATTAATAAATCAACTGAATCAGATAGACGATACAAGTACAACTCAAATATCAAACATTAAAATGTTACTCTAACTAATTTTGAATAAGAAATTTCATTGGAAAAATATTTATTATTCTGTTCATAACATTATTTTATTAATAGGAGATTTATTTGTTTATGTCAGACTAAAAATAGATCTTTTATCATAAACCATCACTATGCTGGGGATAATTTATCCCTTTCTCCTAATATTTGTCTAATTTTAAATTTTATTTGTAAACAAAGATTTTTTATAATAAATGTTTATTTGTTGTCATTTTATTGTAAATAACATACTTCTGTTCAATGATTTCTTGTTTGAATTATGTATTTATTTTTCTGTAATTATACTTTCGATGCAACACTGCTATTGTCAGTCTTCGGTTCGTGATCAATTATGGATGCCAAATATGTTTTAGCTCATGTAAATAAGAAGAATATCAAAATCCCTTTAGGTCTCTACAGACCAATATTAGATTCTCATGGATATGAAAAATGGAATAAATTAGAAGTTGAGTTTGCAAATGTGTTAAAAGAAAAATTAGAGCAAGGAGAAATTTCAGAAAGTGATATTGATTGTGAGATGACCAAATGGTCAGGAAGACAAATTGGTGTAATGGAAAAGAAAAGAAGAAAACTGAAAGTTTATGAGTTTATGGAAGGTAAATTAAACAAACTAAATGAAGAATTACAGTCTTCTCTAAAGGCAGATGATAAAAAAAAATGTATTACATTATTAAAAGACCTTCAAATACTCGATTTGAATCCAATCATATTAAAGAAAAATCCTTCTATTATTGACACAATTCTTCAAGTAAATGAATGCCAGTATTCTACACCTGGGGTTATAACAAGGAGAAGATTGGCTGACTTTAAAAAAACAGTTGAAGAAATGAAGCAGCAAGTTCACAACATTATCAGGAAGTTCAATAAGATGTTTAATGTGCCAGATAATAAATCATTTTTTGAGATATTTCTCAAAGAAAAAGAATTATTCCATCAACAAACCAAGAACATGTCTGTGGAAGATATGAATGAGTTCTTATCATCAGCAGTGTAGTTTATTATATTACTCACTTTTTGACATTTTAGCATTTGAAATGAAGATAATGGATAATATTTTCATTAATTATTTTATTTTTCTGAACTAATTAATGAAGGGCATTTATTAGGATTTATAAACTTAATATTTATTTCAATCTTATTAGATAACAGAAGACCATTTCAATCTCAAAACAACAAATTGTTTTGTTTCTATTTATTGATATTTTAGGCATTTTAAGAATATATCTTTGCAAATTGTTGTGAAGTGTTTTCCTACATTTTAAAATTCATGAATTTGGTGTTATAAAATGTTCTTGAATTAAACATCATATTATTATTATTCTTTGTTTAGATTATTTATGCTATAGATTGCAATTATAGTTATTGGTTAAATTTACTTTAACTATGTGGTAGGATGTTTCTTTTTTAAACGAAAATAAAGTTGTTAAAAGATTACTTCTTCCTATGTGACTTAATGATCGCAAGCCAATTTATATCCTAACTGTAAAATATTTATAATTCACCAAGATTATGAAAAATAGAATTACAATATATTGAAGATTATTAAAAATTACTCTTATAACTGATAATTCGATTACTCTGGGAATATGCCTGATCAAAAACTTCTGGTTTATCAAAGTAAAATTGATTTTAAATGCTTCAACATTTTGCAAACTTCATGGATCTGTAGGGCTATAGTTTTTAATGTTAATTTGCATTATTTCATTTGAGCGCAATCACAAAATGAAAATCATACATAAATAATATGATTTTTGATCTCTTTGTTTATATTATCACTTATGAATATGGAATGGGGCAAAAAACAAATTTCTTGGTTCAAATGGTTTGTGTTTTATATTATATATTAGTAGTTCAAATTAAAATCTTAATTATGTCTAAAGTTAATGGAACACATAATAATATAAGGTATAACAAAGATTTGTTATAAATTTTGGCATGTGAAACTATTTTGAATTGTTCTACACTAATTATATATTTTAACACACTTTAAAAGCCTGCAACTGCAACAACTAAAATTATTCTTAAGACAAAATAAACCATGCATTCCTTATTTTATGAACTAGATTTTCCATTTAATTTTTATGGTGTGCTTAAGGCAATGATGTAAAGTTTTAAATAGCTCTTTTGGTTTGTAGTATTATGAATACGAATATGTGCGATGCAAAAATTGACCTGAAAAGTTCAAAACTGCTCTTTATAATAAAATTATAGCTGTCGATATAAAATATATGCTTTTCCATACTAAACCAATTTTTAGGTTTTCTATACGGATAGGAATCCTTTAGGTATGTTTTAATGAAATTTATTTAGTTTAACTGAGTCTTAACTTATAAGAATTTAATATTGTCTAACAATAAAAATAATAATACTGTTCTTGCTGCAATTCATAATGTAAAATATTGAAAAAGAATATATACATAAATTACTTTTGTGACTGATAATAATTAAGCTTTTTATTTAATATATGGTAGATTGATAAAAAATCTTATAACTGCAAACAGTTAAATTTTGAATAAAGAGAATTATGAGAATATTTAACAAACTTAAAGTGTGCCCAGATATCCATTAAAAAGAAGTTAAACTTAAAAAGTAAATAGGTATCAAACCCAAGATAATTAAGTTATGATTGGATAGAAAAAAATTTGTATCTTATAACCCAGTTATTCATTCATAAGCAGAATAGGTTTTGAGATGGCATCATATCTGAGTTCTTGTTAAAAATTTATTACAATTTAGTATTTTATGCAGTACCAGCATTAGACATTCGGCGCCCCTGAGCAAGACGTCATCTCCCTCCTCCCTAAAAAATTAATTTAATTTCTTAAGCTGTTTTGTATTATGAAATATTTGATTTTATTTATTTAAACATTTCTTCAATACAGTTATTTGAATGATAGGCTAAAATTAATTATTTAAATACGTTTTTCAATTTGTTTTATTTCTAACAAGTGGCGCCCTTGAAAATTGGCCGGCGCCCAAAATTGGACACCTCTCCAGGTTGGCGTCCAGGGGCAATTGCCCTAGTTGGTCCACCCTAAGGCCGCCAACTGATTTTATGGATTGCTATTATTATTCATTTATTCACCTGATTTCTACTACTCAATACCTAAGCTCAAGAGTAAATTATAATAAAAGCATGCTTCTGTTATTTGTATATGGTTTATAACTGCCATAGCAATATTCCAAGAATGGATCCTTACAAGTTGATTTTTATTGTTTTTACATATTGATTTCTATTATGCTATGAGGACGTAACAGAATTTAATTTGACCCTATTATTCTTTTTGGTATTCTGAAAATAAGTTATTGTCATTTGCTCATTAAGGAAAGTTATTTCTTACTACGCACTTGCTGTATAAACACTTGTAAGACAATATTTAAAAAATACAACATATTAAATAATATTGTACTAATTCTAAAGTATAATACTGATCTGTAATATAACATGTATAGTTTTCCCATTTGGACAGTTTTAATTCTGACTTGCACTAATAAATTATTTCAGATATTTAGTTCAGACTAATATTATTTTCTGGAATTATCTATAAACAAAATTATGAATAATTGATATCAGATCTCCAACTGCAATTTTACAAAATAATGGGGAAACAGTGGGCTTAATTAAGCAGACAATCCATAAGGCAACTGCAAATTTACAACAAATTACTTCTGAATGAGGTTCTGCAACTTAACTAAATGTAGAAAACAATCCAATAAAAAGAACTCTTCATTTATTCTCACCTTTGTTGATTTATTTTATTTCTTTCAGTTTAGGAAAGCAGTCCACTGCTTAATTTGTTGACATGTTTTGTTATAGGTTTAGTAGGCGATGTTATGTCTCTTTATCTGTTTATACATATGTTTGCTTATTAAAATGTTAGGTTCTTGATTCTGATCATGTAATAAGATTAAACATAATTCAATAAGAAATAATCTTTTTACTGGGAAACATTTTGTCTCTTTTAAGTGAATAATCTTCAATGGGAGAAAAACATGAGATTGGAGGATCTTGGCCAGATCACCTTCTAGCGCAACCATTAGCCTAGAAATAAATCTTTCTTACACATACTGAATCCCACACC